AGGTGAAAGGAAGTATAGAGCTCTATGAATCGCAAAACTTTGCGTATATGCTAAGTAGCCTATGGGCATTCCATTTCAAGACTGATCTACCGTTTCATTTCCATGTCCTAACCCCTCTCAGTCCCCACACAGCCGACGTTACGAAGTAATGGGACCAATCAAGCAGAGTCAAAAGCGCACGTTTCTGTCTTGTTCTTCTTGCTTATGGTTGGTTCAGCGATGATCGAGCACGCACAGAAACATGACATGACGAACACGACGACGGTGAGATTTTGAAGCGGTCTGATTGGTCCTATCAGTATGTAGCGTCGGCTGCGTCTCGACTTAACCTGAAATGAAGTAGTTTTTTTTTTGTTTTTTTTTATTATATATCCTTTTTTTTGTGTTGCCATCTTTATTTATTCCTTTTCATTTCGTCTTCATTGATTTATTTTTGTTGCGTTCATTCATTTATTTATTTTGTTAATTTATTCTTTATATCTTGTAATTTATGAATTTCTTTGTGTATTTTATGCATTATTTTATTTTATCATTTTCATTAAAACGTGCCGCTCCCGCCGGCACGTTTTGCCGGGAGCCTAATGCCTCCAGCTGTGCACGGCAGCTCAGTGGCAATGCGGCAGGGGCCTGGAACACGCGGCCCGCAGGCATCTCGCTGCGGCGAGCACCGTTCGCACGTCCGAGGACTGCAAATGGCTTGCACCAAAAGAGTCTCATGTTGTCCATTCCTGCATTTCCTCTAAGTGTTGCTTCGTTTTCAGTTTTCTTTTCACCTATTCCGCGTGTTAATCACCTGTATGACGATTCCACTACTAAGCAACAAGCACGGGCCTCAAGAACACACCCTCGGAGGCATACACTTTTACATAGTATGAGGAACTGTTATAGCTTATGAGCTTAGGCTTCTCACCTTCGCTGCTTCCATGTCGTAATTTAAAAATGACGAATAGGCGGTCAGAAAATAACACTCAAATCTACGCCTTATAATGCTAACTATAAAAATCGCCTGGATAGCAAAAAGGGTCACATAACAAGTTTTATTGAAAATTTTTTTATGACGTTGAGCTTGACTATAATTTCCGGGTCAGTCGAACGACAGCGCAACGACGGTATGTCCTCTTATTCGAATGAAAAGTACCAGCGCGTTTCCGGAGCGGCGCCATTTTGCTTTTTCTTGCCGCCAACAGGTATTTATCTAAAGTAGTAAGATGAAGTAATCAAAGCTAAAGATGTCACTGCCAAAATGGCGAATGTAGAAGCAGCAAGTTTACAAAAAGTCGATATTTTAGGAGTTCTGGTAAACAAAGCTGCTCCGCAACGTGGACCTCCCAGAGCTATTCTTCATTCCATAGAAATACCCCCCCCCCCTCCCTTCCCTCTACGCTGGCTTTTTGGCGCCCAAGCTCCAATGATTTTCAGACTCGGACGGTCATAGGGGTGTCATGCGTATTTTTTGTTTTCATAAAATTTTTGTGTGATCTACCAAAATATGTCGACACATCGGAACTGAGCTTACTTTTCCAATATACTTCTTTTCGTCAAAGAAAATCGCCTCTGAGCGGAGGTGGAAGAACGATTTTCCCAACTGCGCGCACACGCAACTTTGAGGGCCACAAGAATAGCAAATACAACGTTCTACAACGTAACAATTTTTATATATAAAGCACGCCAACTGGTCTGCTTGATTTAGTTAAATATTATTTGATTTAGCTATATATTTTAATTAAAATAAAATGACAAACGTGGACTCTTGCGCAACTCTTTTATATTTATGCATTTTTCGGCGATTGTTAACACGTCTTAAATAAAGTTGCTCAGCTGAAAGCTTTCGTACAGAGTATTTTATTCTTTGCTAATTTTTACCAAAAAGTTAGCACTGAACTATTGTTAAGTGTTTTTTTTTTTCAATCAGCAGCTTTTAAAACATTGAAAAAAGTCAAAATTGTACACTTTTTGTGCGGAAGTAAAAAAGAAAAAAATCATATTTGATTTTTACTAAATTTCCATCGATGAACGCTTAAAAAACAATAAATCGCAATCGGCAAAAAAAAAAAAAAAAACGAAAAAAAAAACACGATGCATTATACTGTTCTAAATCAGAAGAATAAACTTTGAGCCATGTTTATGTTGCAGTAAATTACTCTTGGAGGGTTTCTGTCTCAACGACTGGTGGTACTCGAGCACCGCATCCACAGTGGCCGTACTTGGTCGAAGTAACCCCCAGACGTTATAATGCATTTACAAAAAAATAAAAAAAATAATAAATAAAAAAGAAACTGCAAGTTTTTTTTTTCTTTCTTTTTGAGCCAGCTGATATTACGTATAAAAATTTAAGTTTGCGGCATATTCGGTCCTAAGCGTGTTCTCTAGGCATGAACATGCTCAGTTTCCGATGGACTGCAGCGGACGTTCCGAGCCATCTCGGCCAATTCCACGTATCAAGTGACAACGCTCCACTGCGTCCCACTCCAAGTTCACGTGACACTGACACGGCATTCGATTGACTCGTATGACTCGAAGTAATCTGCGGGCGCAATGGAAAAAAAAAACAACACACTTACAATATTCGAGCGTTAATTTGTTTTGTTAAATATGAATAAATAATGAAATACACTGTAGAAAATGTTTCAGCTTAGAAACTTAATTCTAAAAAGTGTGAAAAAATCGCCGAAAAATGCCTAGATATAAAAGAGTTGCGCAAGTGGCCAAGTTTGTCGTTTTATTTTACTTAAAATAGAAGCTCAATTAACATGAATTGAATGAATTCAAGTAGACCAGTGTGTGCGGTTAATAAAATATTCACGTCGAACAAAGTTGTCTTTTTAACCCTGTGGCCCCCAATGGTTGCGTCGCCGCGCAATTGGGAAAATCGTTCTTCCCCCTTCACTGAGACGCAATTTTGTAAAAAACTTTTTTGCGAAAAAAATAACGTATTTTTGCAAAAGTAAGTTCTGTTTTGTTGTGTGGATATGTCTTGTCATATCATATAAAACTTTAAATGAAAACAACAAATAAAGGCATGACACCCCTATGACAATTCTTATCTGCAATATAAAAAAACGAAAAAACTTAATAGCTATAACATCTGTCTGGAGCACCAACCCAGGTTAGAGCCCCAGGTCATTGCTATGTTGAGTTTACATGGGCTTTTGTAAACTACATACCGGCTGTTTCTGTGAATACTTTCAAGATTCCCTGCAAATAGGGTGACTGAGAAAAGAAGAAACGCTTTTCGGGAACAAACTGCCAGCCGTGGTGAACGTCAGAGATAGCAAAAAAAAAAAAAAAAAAAAAGACGTACCAATTAGCAAAATATTTTCCTTGAATTTACGAATTAACTTAATAAATACTGAAAATAAAAAATATGGTTCCAACCAGAAACTCGCTGAGCCTCATCGAAAACCCCTAAAATTTATTGATTTAGGGCTTTTCGATGAGGCTCAGCGAGTTTCTGAGTGGAGCCATATGTTTTATTTTCAGTATTTATTAAGTTAATTCGTAAATTCAAGGAAAATATTTTGATAATTCGTACGTTGTTTTTTGCTGTTGTTGTTGTTTTTTTTTTGTGGGGGGGGGGGGGGGGGGGGGGAGGGGGTGCGTGGGGGGTGCGCTAAAGTTTCTGCTCGTGCAGCAGTCGGAAGATTGGCGATGCGAAAAGGCGGATGATTTTCTTATCTACCAGGTTTTCGCATCGCCAGCCTTCCACCTGCTGCGCGAGTGGAAATCGTAGCGCAAACCCAGGCTTCACACGTGCTTCGAGTCTCTCTAGATTTATGGGTTTTCGGTGACTCGCAGCCAGTCTGTAATTGGAACAATATGTGTATTTCTACTAAAATAAAAATTAATTAGTGAATTTAAGGTAATTGTTTTGCTAATTAGCTAAAAGGAAAAAGGGTTTCTTCCTTTTCCAATTGCCATTTGTAGGGATTTTCCAAGTACTCGCAGAAACACCTGGTATTCGTATGATGCCGTGTAACGCTCCCGGTATGTCGCTTGTTAAAGGGAAGCTGAAACAGTTGAAAAACTTGAGCGAAAGTGAATTCTGACGTATTTTTATCTCGTGAATCTGAATATCACGTTCGTTTTCCCCGAAGGCGTATATAAAGGCGAGAAAACACGAAAAACCTCCGATCAGTCCTCACGTCATACTATACTCTGTTTCATACTTAGTGTGCAACGCTGTCAAAGCTACTGGCGCGAGCGCGTGGCTTCATCTATGGTTTTGTCTGCGCGAGAACGCGTACAAATGATCAACGAGATCAAGCCCCATGCTCGCGCCAGTAGCTTTGACAGCGTTGCACACTAAGTATGAAACAGAGTATAGGATCTTTGTGCCGCCAAGCGTGTGTCGCTCGTGTGTGCGGCGCGTGCATTTACAAGCTTCCAACGTATATTCCCCCATACAGGCACCAGTCGTGACGTCTCTTTCTGACCTTTTACAAAATAGCAAGAATGCGCGTGCATAGCTTTGACAGACGCTGAAGGTGCGAGAGAGCGGAGATTCCGAAAACTCCTAATATGACGTCACGCCTCGGGGACCACGGGCTTCATCGGTACTTTGAAAATTAATTTATGCAGCCTCCGTGCACCAAATCGAAAAAAAATAATCGCGATATTCGTTATTCTGGAGGCCAAATAAAGACAATTTAGGTGTTTTTGCTCAAACACAAAACTGCTTCTGATTCCTTTTAATGACGCGCAATGACACTGGTTCATGACTTTTTTTTTTTTTTCTTATAAGAAACGACTGATAAAACACATTCTATGTTTTATAAAAGCAGTAGGAAAGAAGGACGTGACGATGCTTCGAAAAGACAGGGCGGTGCGTGCCAGGAAGTCCGGCACTGGACATCCGCTGCGTTCCTCATAAAACGCCATTCTTCATGTGACGGTTTGATCGAGAGTTCGAAATACTGGTGCAATTGTCTTTCACTGTAAGTAGATAGTCGTAGCGTTTTGCTCTCACGCTTGGTGGCGCTTGAAAATGTCCCAGCACTCACCTGTGAATTGTGAGCGAGCAGTTTCCTTCTGTGTCATAGTAAAGACTGCATTCTGGAGAGTATTTTACGGGTTGTCCCTGCTTGTACCACGTGATTTTGGGCTTTGGAACTCCAACTGCCCGACAGTCAAGACTGAAAAGAAAAGAAAGAAAGAATCAAGCGATCAGGGTTATTTTGTGATAGTATCAAATGTACCAAATCCGATAAAAAAAAAAAACGCGCTTGAATTGCCGAGAGAGAAAACAAGTGGAAAGGAGGCAAGAACCGACTAAATGCTCTACTTTTTTTTTCGCTTAAAATTCATTTTTTGACACGCGATTCCCAAACAAACTGTTTAAAAAAACGTTTTTTTTTTCTTTTCAGGGGCCCTTTAAGGTCGTCCTAGAGGTCGTCCTAGAAGTCGTCCTAGACATCGTTCTTGGCGTCGTCCTCTAGGACGTCATCCTCGACGCCGTTCTTCACGTCGCCCTCGACATCGTCCTAGACGTCGTCCTTGAGGTCGTCCGAGAGATCATCCTCAGCGTCGTCCTAGACGCCATCCTCGACGTCGTTGTCGACGTCGTCCTAGAGGTCGTTCAAGACGCTGTACTTGGCGTCGATCTCTAGGACGTCGTCCTCGACGTCGTCCTATACGTCGTCCTAAACTTTAGTTCGTGTAGAAGCACTACTAGAAAACATTTCTCCCGCGGGGCTATAATGCTTTCGCCTTCCTACACGTAAGTAGTCTTGAGTGTCCTCCTGTAATTTTTTTTCTCGGTTACTAGGACAATTTGTGTGGTTTTGGGCGAGTTGCACACACAGTACATTCATGTGTTCACCTGATTGATGAAAAGGCTCAAGAGAAGTTCAAATTTAAAAAAAGGAGTGTAGTGTGTGAGAAGTATGCTTTAATTATAAGTTTTCACGGGTTCTGCAAATCATTTTGAGAACACATCTCACTCCGCGAAGAATCCAATGGCCTTGGCGCCGACTGCTTTTGTGTAGTTGGAACGGCTGGACGCGCGGAGCCTCGGTGTTTTCCCTTTTGAATTGAAAGGGGTGGCTACCGCCATTTATGGTCATGTAAACCCGTCGAGAGAGCGGAGACAGCCGCCTCTGCTGTCTTGGCGAATTCGCTTCGGTGCGTCGGCGGCAGCTCTCGGACGGGATGTTTCCAAAGCGCTCGGGGAGAATTTGTTCCGGAAGGCGCTCTATCTAATGCAAATGAGCCAAGTAGAATTTATTATCCTATTAAAATATGTGGGTTCTGCATCTTCCGAGGGTGCGTGTAGCGCTTTGAGCCTTTAGGGCCCTTGGATTGCCTGTAGCCCCTCCCTTACGGTATAGTGAGATAATGGCGAGGGGAGGAGATTCACCGCACCCGCTCATCTATTTTTCGGCTGATGAACTAAGTCGTAACATCATACGCCCGCTGCGCTATCCGTTGGTGCATCACGATGTGCCCCGTGACGTTGTGGGAACATGTGGGGAGCTAGGCTTCGTCATGCCTGCGCGCACCGGCGGTCGCCTGTTCGCGCAGGCTTCCCTGAGTCATATGTGGTCCTGCTGTCTACGCAATCTTTCCCTTCCTCTCGTGGCGCCGAGTAAAGGCGTCGGGCTATAGATCGCACGGTCCGGCGTTTTGATTCCTACTGAGCCGCTTGGCAAATCCCGCCCAATGCAATTTATTACGCCAAATTACGCGTACATGTGGCAAACTATAACTAAGAATGCCTTCTCTCTGGGTACTTATGCATGGCCTACTATGGGCTGTGCATGCTTTGTGCTGCCTCGGCTTGTGTGTAACGATTTTCGTCACACTCGAGCCTGACACTTTTCGCATAATATCCAGCCCGTAAACACACTTTGTGTTAAAATAAGACAGGCCTATAGCCTGTGGCGTCGGAAAAGCGGATGGGGCAGAATTGTCTCCTAAAGACGTCCACATGACCCGCTCCTCTCCACCGCCACCTACATTCACCTTCTCACCTCCCAAATATTCGTGAGACCACTGCCCTTAGCGTGTTAAGGCTAAAAACCTTGCAGTAAATCCAAGTTGCGACACTACCATTTTTCCGATCTGGCTGCGTGAATGTGTCTTTGATCACTTCTGTAGATAAAGGAGGAACTCGAATGAACTCAGTAGATAGTTAAAATCATTGGGAATGTAATAAATAACAAAAATTAATTTTTAATAAAGCGGGCTTTAAATGTATCTAATTTAATTTTTGAATAAATTAAACAAAAAATAAAAGACGTTTACAATTTTCTGTAATGCCGAATTAGAGCGCAGCCCTTGAGTAGGAGGAGGGGAGGGTACGAAGGGGAGGGTATGCCCTTGCTCCCCCTCCGTACCCTCCCCTCTCGTCTCCTGCTCCCCTCCCATTTAGCGAGGAATTTTCGCTAAATTTCCCGCTAAATGAAGCGAAAATTTCCCCTCTAAATTTAGCGGGGAAATTTAGCGAAGATTTTCCAGCTAAATTTAACGGGGAAACTGAATCCCTGTGGAGGTCACGTGACGTCAATTTTCCCGCTAAATATAGCGGGGAAATTTTCCCGCTAGATTTAGTTAGCGGGAAAACATTCCCGCTAGATTTATCGGAGTAATTTTCCGCTAAATAATTTCCCTGCTAAATTTAGCGCAAACGTTTCCTGCCAAATTTAGCGGGAAAATTTTACCCCCGTGACGTCACGAGAAACGTCCCATAAGGCAACGCGCGGTTACCCCGACGCCGCTCCACCCCGAAACGGGCACCTAAATGCTGCGCTCTAAAAATTATATAATTATTACGTGATAAAAAATCAAGTCGTACAGTCTATACCACACAAATGGGACTGCAGGCGTATGGTATTTAGTACGCAACATTTGGGATGCATCTGAAGACACAAGGCTCCAAATATGTCACCAAAACTTCAACGGCATGATGTTGGGCTTTCTTTTTATTAAGGCGAAAGCCTTAATTGTCCCATTACGCGAAACGCCGTCGGCGTTGTCCCCAAAAGATTGTCATGAAACTACGTCATCAAGCACGCGCCTCTGAGATAAAACAGAGAGAAAAGCACAGCAACGCAGATGACGCGCGCAAGCCGCCGTGAGGCCGGCATGGTACGCCGCGCCTGCGCAGTGGGGGAGCCTGATGTCAACGCTGGAGCGCCATGTGCGAAAGGAAGGCGTGGCGCGCTGCTTGTAAGAAGGCGCTCCGTGTAGGAATGCTTTTGCATTCCTACACATAAGCAGTTTTAAGTGTCTTTGGTGAGTTTTTTCTAGCTCGAAATATACCAAGACAGTTTAGTGCAAACAAAGAGCCCGGACATAATACAGTTATTTGTTTTTGATTATTTTTATGTATTTCTATTAATCGACAGAAGTGTGTACAAAAATCAAATAGCCGAAATGTAGTCTAGTTCACTTTTCTCCACTTCGGAATTTTTGTGGAAAAAGATTTTGTTAAAAATTTGTAAGAGCGGTTTTGTTCATTACTGACAATACAAGTCAAAATCCCCACCCCGACACGCGTGTTCGATGTCAAATGAAACTCCTCTATTTATTTATATGTTTAATCGAAAATGTGTATATGAATGAGCCGGACTTGGTCGAATGAAACCGTCTACGAAGCCGCCGAAAGACAAAATCTTTGGCGGAGCCGGAATGTGAACTCCGGGTTTCCCAATATCCGGTTTGAAAGTGCTAACCACTACAGTCCTGCGAAATCTAGGCATCGCACAAAGAAAAGGTTGATGCTGTAGTGGTATATGCCAAAGGACCCGTTAAAAATAATTATTAGCGTTCAATATATATATAAAAAAATTACGTTTCAGTAAATAAAATTTGATTTATTAACTTTAAAGGTACGGTTTCAAATAGAAACTTGATGCAAATCATCGAAAACTACTAAAGCCATCCACATTACAATTATATAAGGCACGCGCAGCATTTTACGGAGTTACGACAACATTCTCACTGTGGACGCGTCTCTAGGTTTCGGTTTCTTATCCGAGCGGATCTCTGCACCAGCAATCCCGCTACCACCGTCCGCGCGCCGCCACACATCGCCCGTATACAGAAGAGGCTAGATAAGAAAGCCTGCGAACTGCCACGTGAGGTTTGCCTTTTTTACGTCGGTGGCAGCTGCAGTTTGAAGAAGTAGTTTTACGTATGACGCGTGGTTGCGCAAGCACGTTTCACGTTTTGGCCACGGCAGGCGAGTCTGGCGCGGAGATACGCTGGATACGCTCCGATAAGACATCGAAACCTAGAGACGCGTCCAAATTGAGCAATTTGTCGGAACGCCCTAAAATGCTTCGCGTGGCTTATATCATTGTAATATCGGTGGCTTTAGTAGTATTTGATGATTCGCATCAAGTTTCTAATTGAAACCATAGCTTTAAAGTTAAACATTAAAACGTTTAATTACTAGAATCCAACTAATTACAAAATTATACTGAACGCTAATAATTTCCCTTAATGTGTCCTTTGAAACAGACCACTAAGGTGTCAATATTTTTCGTGTGCCATGCGCAGTTTTTGCAGAAGCGATTTGGCCCGTGTTTCTGAAAACACTCTTAGTGTTAACACTTCAGCTTCAACTTGAGGCTAAATCGAATGCAGCAATTGTAAATAAGTCGCCTTTTCAATTTATCGCAAGTGCTTCTACCGGGAAGCAGAATCGGTGCTTTGAGAATGCTTACGTTGCAGGATAGCCCGCAATGACCTCCACGTCTTCCATGGGTGCCAAAAACTTGGGTGGCATTCCGGGTTCCGATGTTCTTCTCCGTCCTGGTTTCCACTTGACGAACTCGTCGGTTATGGGTGCTCTCTCAGACGTATCTGAAGTGGGGGTCGGCGTTTTTCGTCCTGTCGGAGGTTTGCGGGCACCTGTAACAACCAAGGAACTTTGGTTTAAAACGCGGGCAAGCTGATATACGATCTTCTATTTAGCCGGGACTGGGAGAACAAAAAGATGGCAAGCACGCACAACGTCCCAGAAACGTTGTGTCTGCTTGACCTCGACTAGATAAAAGCACCTTTGATGAAATTGTCCAAATATGAAGAGGAAGGAAAATATAGCTCGGACGTAATTCTACCGACCGCGCAGGGTGGCAGTTTTGAGAAGTGCCTTGACCGGACACATTAGTCCCGGTGATAGTTAACGCTGGACTGCGTTTTCTGCTGCCGGGGAACTTTCCAGAAAGAGCTACATGATCCTGATGGCACAGCAGCGTACTTCTGCTGCTGGGACGAAGAGGAGCCTGATGCAAACATGTTATTTATCTGTCTTTGAAAACGACTAGGACTTGACTCGTGTGATAAAGTGTTCCCTCTGTCTTTGGGGATATTTAAATGCGCTTTAAACAAATAGTCCCTTAAACGTTTATATAAAATGTCCTAGCATCCTGGCCCAACACAAACTTGAAAAACAAGTCAATTTCTAAAAGTCAAAAATTGGCTTTGGTGTTCCTTTAGGAATATCAAAAGCAGGGTGTTGAACTGGTCGTTATTCCGGTTTGGGTTTGGTTTCAGTAGCTTTGCATTCTGTTCCGGTTCGGCTTCGGTTCAGTCGTCCATGCAAAATATCGGTTCGGTCTCCGGATCCACCAAGCGCGAACCGGTTTAAATAAGTTTAAAACTCTATCTTAGAGAATGGCCGCCCGACGCATTTTCTGGAGTGTTGGGAAGTACTTTAAGTACATTGTACTTAAAGTACTACTTCAAGTAGGTTTAAACATTTTTTTACTTTACTTGCAGTATATTTTCTGAGTATGTACTTGCACTTTTCTCTAAGTATTTTTTCTGGTACTTCCCGTGGCAAACACATCTCCCTACTTCAAAGAACAGTCCCCTAATTTGTTATTGTTAATTTTTCACTTCAAAATATGCTTTGTCAACTATCAATAAATACTAGGAGGGATATTTAACTCTCACCAGAAACGCGAGCAGATAGCGCATCGCTCCGTTTGAAGTGGAGGGCGGCTTTCCCGCATCATTTCGAACTCATTATAAAATAGTAAGCCCACAGGCGAACTGCTGAAGGTTAACTATGATGAATTATACCTGAGACTCTGGTAAGACGTCGCCTTGTCCAGTTTTTTTTTCTCTGTCTCTTCAACTGTATGATGGTGTCCTTTTCTTACCCCAGTCTCAGGTATAATTTTTCATGGTTCTCGCTACTTCTCCCTAAGTCAGCTCAAGCGAGGAAGTTAAACATATTATAAGAGGACACTCCTCCACGAGAAGATTGCTTGCGGAAGCTACGGGGTTGACGTCATGCTCTCTCCTTGTACGTTTAACCCACTTGGGTGCAAGCCAGTACAAGCGGTGACAAATCCAGAAGTCGGAGGATTTCTGAATTCGGCGTCATCTCCGAAAACAACTACTATGTGGCCAGTTGACGTTATACAGTATTCACCGCCATTGCTAAACATAACTGATGCACCCCTGATTACCCGTGGGGCAAAGCATACCAGTTAAAAAGAACACTATGAAAGGATATAATGAAATATTGTGTTAAAAAGTACTTGTATTTTACTTTGAAAGTGCGTTGTATTTATTGTATTTCAAGTACATTGGACCTAGTGTACTTACTACTTTACTTCAAATACATAACCTCTAATTTACTTGGTACTTTACTTCAAGTACTTTGGAGATGCACTTTATCTAACACTGATTTCCAGCGGTTTTTGTTTAGCATGCGCTTCTTGTCGTAGTTGGACACGATGATGAATTTATGGTGTGATGTGATGGTGTGATGTTTTCATCACCCCATAATAATATCACAAAATGAAAGACACGTTCAAAATTTTGCTCAACATATGCGAACTCCGCTGCGTCACCGCGCTTGCCACGCACACTGTTCTTGGGCGTGGCCGTGCTGGCCTTGTGCCCCCCTTGTTTATCAGAACGATCAAAACAAGTTTGAATTTATTTAGGAGTGGAGTGTGCGAGGAGTATGCTTTAATACGTTTTCATGGGTTCTGCTTCTTCCGAGGTTGCGTGAAATGCCTTTAATTATTAGTGATCTTGGATTGCAAGGAGCCCCTTGAGGTAGATGAAGTAGTAACAAGAACAGAATGCTTATCTAAAGCTCGTTAATAAAACTCACGCTTCGCATCTCTTCTAAGTATCGACAACCACTGTTATGCGAACGCACAAAAGAAAATGCTTTGGAGTGCAGAACCGCCATTCGCTTCCGAGGGTCGCTCATTTTAGTGCTGCCCGGCCCTTTGCTTCTAAGAGTGACTCCACTTGCAAGACAAACACAGACATATCAAGGGGCTTCCTTATTGTGGTTGGGATTTGTCCCAGTTCAATACAAAATAACAGGTTTGATCCGGTTTTTGGTTCGGGTTTGGTTCGGGTTTGGTTCGGGTTTGGTTCGACACCCTGCTCAAGAGCTAGAGTATGATATGAAATTCGCATTACCTTTGCGAGGAGGTACAAGTCCTTCAGGTTCAAGAGGTTGTTCTGGTTGAACTTCTCCGCTTTTCGGAATCCTGCTGTCCGGACGCCATGGAGGAATTGTTTCAGGTTGCGTGGCTTCCCGTCCCCGAAGAGGCTCTTTTCCACGAGGTCTTTCAGGTTGAGTTGCTTCTTGGGTTATCGGGAATGCCTGGTCAGTGTCGGATGGTCTTGTGGGCCAGCCTGGCTCTCGTCTTGGTGGCTTTGAAAGTCCACTGGGTTCAGTGTCTGAGGGTCGGTCAAGTTCACTTTGGTCTGCATCAGTCGACACCGACTCAGGCTTTGGAGACGTAGATCCAAATAAGGTAAATGGCCAAGTTGGCCTTAGAACAGTTGTAAGAAATTCTATAGCCGCTTCCTTCGCTGTTTTTTCGGTTTTCTCTGGAGGAGGAGATTCTGAAAGAAGAAAAAAAAGTATACGTGCTTTAAGTTTTGGAAAGAGAGCAAGCCAATATGAAAATAACATTAAGGAAAGTATGCAGGCGCTCTGCTTTGATAGTGGCATGCTTATACAATCCGGACTCTCAGGCGGATCTCGAACGTACATCTGAAACCCTGAAGTTTCAGCTGTACGTTCCCTACAAGAACTTGAAAATTCCCTTGCCTGTGTTATGTAGATTGCCCTTTTAACGCTTTTTGCGACATTGATAGTTTCCTATACTCAGCTGCTCTATCCACTGCGAATATACGTATATGCATAAATAGCCTAAATAGTAAGCCATGGTGTAATAAACAAAAAGTAACTGTCAAATAAAATGTAGTATTTAGGTTGCTTACTTTGCAACTGCTCATGGGTACGGGAGCAACTTCCATAGTTTAAGCAGTGCGTTCATCAAGTCAGTTTCATTGGGGCACGTGGAATAATCGGGTGTTTCTCTCCAAATTAAATATACTTTTCTTGACCTATAGTATCTACCCGGGTTTTATCACGGGGAGAAGAGTAAGTGGTCCCAAAGATGGGCGACTAAGTAAAATAAGTGATAATTAAGAGACTCAGCGTCCAGTGACAATCACCTTTAGGCGGCCTGGATATCTTGCGGATCTGCGGTGCAATAGTTTCCTTGAAACTGAGCTCCGACTCTGATTCTAAGCTCTGATAATCATCATCGGAGTACTTCCTCCTAGAGGGCTTCGTTTGGAGAAATCCAGGAACCTTGTATTGCTTTGGCTCCTCTGGAACCGATTGGTCATCTTCTGGTTTGTGCTCCTCAGGTTCTGTTGTTGAATACAGACAGAGAAACAGTGATATGGTGATATTTATTATTGGTGAGTTTATTTGAAATTGGGCCAAACTTGGGAAACAAACATGGTAGCTTAATTTCTTCGGTGATCAAAATATTCCTTTAAAACATCATAGCCAACAATTTTATTTTAAAAATTGGAAGTAGCACCGCGCAGTATAGGTTAAAAACTCGATTCGTTTTTGCCCCACAAATATGGCTATTGTTTAGAAACTACTGACTTTACTTAAACTGGTAATGCTTTTTTTAGGTCGCAGAGACTATTACGGGCCGCTCGAAGAGGAAAATGTCTTATTTCTAGCCTTTATAGTTCTATTTTTTTCCCTCAATATAGACTTGGTTTTTAAAGCTATTTTGCTTCTTATTTGGATTGCAAATCAAATAATTAAGCTATCTGATAGTATATATACAAGGCCCCAAGTAGCACAAGGTGGGCTCTGACGTGGGCCCCACTTGGGCAGCACACGTGGGTCCCACATCGGTTTTGCGAGCTGCCCAAGTGAGGCCCACTTGGGCAGCTCGCCTGGGCGGCCTCGGGGGACCCACAAGGGTCCCCCGAGGTTTTGGGCAGCCACGTGGGCAGCTTGGGCAGCCACGTGGTCTGCTCTCATGAGACCCACAGTGGGTTTACTTGGGCAGCCCACATGAACAGCCCCGCTGAGCCCACAGGGGTACTAGGTGGGCAACCCACATGCTCCTCCCGCCCCCCCCCCCCCCCCTCTCGTGGGGACCACAGCGGACCTACGTGGCATCCCACATGAGATCCTCCCAGAAACCTCATCACGTCAGGTGTTATTTTATTATTGTTCTACGGTTTGAGATATTGCAGTGCATTCAAAATTCAGCCTGATTAACATTCCTGGTGTACCTCCTGAAAAAATTATCACCATTTCCATACAAGCTGGTGGATCAATGAAACGTCGTGAGCAATACCATCGAAAATTGGGTCTTTTAAGTGTACAAAATGGAACAAAAAACTGCGCATTTCCATATAAACTCCCGGTAGACAGGTAAACGGGATACATAGCTACCTTGAAACGGCTACATGACACCGAGTTTTAAAACACATACTAGAGTGTTAAAACGTATCCTTCAAATTTACTCTAAAAAATTCACACCGCATAAGACGGCCTTTTCAACATACACAATGAGTAGTAGCTTAGTAATAAAGTTATGCAAGCCACCTAAAATTTCTTTCTAAAGCTTAAATTTACAATTCTCGGTGATTTGGTATCGAATTAATCCGATCTCCAATGATCAATTTACAGAACGTGCAGTGAATATTCTTCATATCAGAGGAAAGTGCCATTTTGGAAGTTGCACAGGTAGTCCTAGTTGGGCATGCCCACGCGGTGTCCCCGTGGAGCCCACCTTTGTGCTAACTCTGCCCCCCTATAGCCCAAATGGGACCCAAGGGGGCGTTGCATGGACAGCCCAAGTTGGGCATGCCCCCGTGGAGCCCACGCCTGTGCTAACCCTGCCCCCCTATAGCTGAGGTGGGACCCATGGAGGCAATGCATGGGCAGACCACGTTGGGCATGTCCCTATGGAGCCCACCTCTGTGCTAACTGTGCCGACGTATAGCCGAGGGGGAACCCACGGGGACATTGCGCGGGCAGCCGAAGTTCGGTATACCCACTCGTTAACTCCGTGGAGCCCACCTGTTTTAACTTTGCCCCCCGCATAGCCGAGGTGGGAATCACAGGAGCGTTGCACCGGCAGCCAAAGTTGGGCATGCCCACGCGTTGCCGAAGTGAGACCCACGAAGGTACTGCGTCGGAAGCCCAAGTGGGCGTGCACCCTTGCTTTGCCCACAACTATGATAAATTTGCCTTCGTATATCCGGGGTAAGACCCACAGAGGTATTGCACGGGCAGCCCGAAATGGACATGCCCACGTCACACCTTTTAGCCTACGGGAGAATTGCAGGGTTTGTCCCAGCCCACTTTGCCCTCGCGGAGCCCACGTTGGCCCTCGTTCATTTGCTACCTGGTTTTTTTCGCAAAACGGAGGCCAAATTCCTCGTGCGAAAAGTGTCCATCGTACAAAAGCAAAAAAGGTTGACGACATGTTTGGCTCAGCCAAAGGGCTTATCGAGAAAAATAACGTTTGAGATTATTAGGTTCTTAATTACTTTTTCTTAGTACATTTGGACGTATGGTTCCAATTAGAAACTTTATGGGCATCATAGAAATCCTTTGAATCAGCACACTTTACAAAAATATAAGGCACGGGCAGCATTTTACGGCGTTCCGAAATAAACACTTGATTTGGGCGTGGTTTTAAGTTTCACTTTCTCATAAAAAAACATCTGGATGGATGAATGGATGGATAAATGAATGCGGTTGAACCTTTCAAACCGGGCGGCGCCTTGCGCCACCAAGCCAAAGCTTCTAAATGCAACAATTAACTAATTTCCGATTCAATCTTGATTTAATGGAGAAGGACAAAGAATGTGTCTACCATTCTCCACAATCGAAAGTTACGATCCGTGCGATGGTGGTGCCTCTTAGCAACCCTGTGCGCCCACTTTTCGCTCTGCGGATTGAAAGGAAAACAACAGAACTTCACTCTTCCCTCGAGTTAAGCCACCTCGAGTTATGCCGCCGCTTTCCCAGCGTCTATTTCTCCCTCGCTGTCTTTAAAGCCCAACGCCTGTACTAAATCAATATCACCTTGAGCAACTGCAGGGTGAAGTTCTTTACTTGAAAGTATTTCAGCCGTCTCCGTTTTTCTCCCCACACGCTCTGAACTCTGTATCTATGTCCTAATATTTCGCTTTGTACTCCCTAGTTCGCAATACCCCTGTCCTTACCTCAAACAACTACGAATTTTCCTTTAGAATCGTCATAGACTCTTTCCTTAACAATCTCCATCTTATATTTTCTATAAGACCCCGAGCCAACTTTGTCTGCATCCCTGCTTCCCATATTTCCTTCTCCGCTGCTTTCACTCCTTTCTTAACAGTCATGTCCTGATCTACGTCCCAATTATTGCCCAAATATTTCGACCTGAGTTTTCTTGTTCGCTTCCTCCATTTTGTATCGACGCCATTCATGTTCATGTATCTCCGCGTCTGCTGTCCTGCTCCCTCGGGGTCAAAGTGCGCGACAAATGCGTGCCACCGCGCATTCTTCGCAGACGAAGGTGAACCCAAGAATAAAAGCTTTTTCCTGCAGTGTCATTCCAACAGCGAAGCATTTCATATGGTCGTGTCTCAACACACTTCTTTCTATCAATGAGTGGCGAGAGGGTAGTTGCACGCTTTGATTGCGGGGAGCAGTGTTGCTGGCGTAAAAAATGCGCTTTGGCAGAAAACCGAAACTTCAAAATGCGTCCAAATTGAATGTTTTTCCGGAACGCCATAAAATTCTGCCTGCGCCTTATGCTTTTGTGAAGTGAACTGATTAAAGGGTTTTCAAAAGTGCTCAGAAAGTTTCTAATTAAAACCATACCTCTAAAGTTACTTATTAAAAATGGATTACACATAAGTGATTAAAATCCTAATTATCACGAACGTTAATCTTCCTAAATAGGCCCTTGGCAGAGACCAATATACGGCCGAAGTTTTTTTCTGTTTGTTATCATGCGGGGCGAACTTTCCGCAGGAGCGATTCGGTCCTTGTGATGTGAAATACCCTGCATTGTTCGTGCTAGTAATATTTTTAAATTACTTTTTAAACATATTGGCCACAAGCTTGGAAATCACGGGACATAAATATTGGTTGATGCTTCTTGTTTCTTTTTTTTTTTTTTTTTTACTTGGGACATCCAATTAAATGGGGCATTTCTTTTCTTTAAATTTGTTTTGACTACCGATAGACTTTGTAACAGCAAAAAGCGTCATCCCACCTCCAGCGTGAAGGTAGCATTCCGTGACCTTCTCGCCAGCATCATTGACAGCCTTGCACACGTAGTGACCCTGAGTGGCAGGCATCATTTCTGTGATGTGAAGCATGGATTTGTCGCTGAGGAGGGTGACCTTGTACACGGGGCTCGGCTCAATGAGGAGGCCGTTGTGGTACCACGTGACCGTGGGTTTGGGTCGGCCCCTCACTGTGCACTCGAGCGTCACCGGGAAACCCAGGGGTTTGCAGTATGTGCCCTGGAGTGGAACCTCAAACCGTGGCCGCATGCTTTTGAAATCTGCAAAAAAAAAAAAAAAAAAGACACGAAACTCAGTTTTTTGTCTTTGCAAACGTTTCCACACCTGAACTGCTCCATTATACGTGGACTGGCCGAACACTCGTTCGGAAAGACGACTCTAGGGTCTCCTAGAACTAGGGCGATCCATGGACGGGTACATGGGGCTCGAGCATTCAAATACAGCTGACGGACGCACTCGTACACGAGTCACGATTAATTCAAATGAGGCCACGGGAGCAAGTAACGGCGAGGTGCGCGAGCTGCTCACGAGGTGGCCTACCATCAGCATCCGGCTGTCCGACTCTTGCGTCTAAATTTGTGCGTGACAAGGCGCTTCTGATAATGACTTTCATGTGACCACTACAAAGGCTTCATTGAGATCCTTTGACCCATCTTCGACAACGCTTCTTGACTCGGTTACGGTAAGGACTGAGTTTTCTACGTGATCCTTCTCCTACATTCCTAAAGTTTTACAAGTTGACCATATTAGCACCAACAATGCCGGCCAATGTTATGCTAAATTTCTACCGCGATCACCTTGAATAAATCAACGACGAGGGATACCGTTTACTCCGTTATATTCCCAACAGAGAAACCAACTTCGCGCTAAATGCAACCAGAAACCACATTAAAGTGGAACTACAAACAATTCAAAACTCGGTTGGACATGTAGCACTCCTTAGTGGAAACGTTGTGACAACTTTAGGAAGTTTCATGGAGGTATTCACAGGACCCGCTATGAGGTATCAGCCGTCCGAGTGCCGGGCACATCGCGTTCATGTCCTTTCGTTCGGTGGCAGGGACTGGCCAAGTTTTCTTGGCCCCATCCGCTCTGACTGAAGCCAACCGAGACTCTTGTTGCTCATTGTCCTCAGCCCCAGAAAGATACTTCTATGCTTCATTCACATTTCAGCTGACGTGACAGAGAAAGCTACACGCGCGAGACACCACGCGCTTCTTGCCTTGAAACGTGCTTTCAAGCGACCGTGCCGCGAAACCATATTCAAAAGACGCGGTCTCTTGCTTGTAGTTTCCACTGCCCTGTAAGCTTAAGGGTGAACGGAGTATAATTTAATGTTTCACTATTGGGTCGCACGAATTATGAAAGGGGCGGTGCAACGATATTCAATTCTAATGTTTTTCACTTTACACCAGCTTACTGGGTTAGTGGGACTCAAGGATACTCACACGCAACGCTACTGGCCAAGAAACTCCTTTGTTGCGGTGTGATTTCAAGGACAAAAGCGATCGTTTTCATTTAATCTCTCCTTCGCAAAACTTGATGACGTAGCTGGGCGGTCGCAGTACCACGCAGTGACGATATTTTAATGTGGCTCATAGATCGGACCCGTGCATTGCGTCGGCACTCGATTTGTGCTCGTGATAATCGACTGCTCGAAAAGCATTCGGGTAGTGGCCTGTGTCCAATCGCTGCAATGATGACAATAGCCGAACCATAACAATGTCTGGAACTCAGCGCGTATCCTGTGCATTGTCAATTCCAGCCCGTGGTTATGATCAACATTGGCGGCATATAATCGACTATAGATCCCGTGGCCACTTGTTGGTGCTTCGAGTTGAGGGGGTGAATGCTGCTCGTTTTTCTTTAATGTTCTCTGCAACTTCAATTGCGTGTAGTGAAAAATGAACGGGTGTTTAACGGGTCATCAACGTCCGAGATTCATTCTAAGCCGTATTTTCGCAAAGTACGAAAATCGTTGCATCGCACCTATAATGACGCGATCATTCACTAGAGATGTCGTGCAATCAGTACATTTTCTTACCCAGGCTGAGTCGGTGATCGGACTTCGGAATTCTCCTCATGGGTCTCATTGAATTTAGATCTGGAATTAAGAGCACACATCAATCAAATTCCATTAAAACTAATTAAAAACAAAAAAATTTAATGTTCTACAAATTAAGCCATGTTTTCATTATTTCCAGCAATCAGCATGCCATCGTTTGAAGAAAGGTAAGGAGAGAAGAAGCACAATATCTTTACTTTTTTGTTCCTTGTACGTTCTTACACAATATATTTCCTCTGATCGTATTCAACTGCTGACGTATACACTCTTTTTCAATTTTTGGCTGTCGTATTACAAAGTATTTCCTGCAATATGGGTTAAATCTGTCACCATTCCTTTTAGCTTCAGTTCCCCTAGAAGCAGGTTACAAAAACAAAACAAAATATTTTCTCATTTGTGTTTAGACAGCGTGAGTCGGTCTACCTGTGAGGTACGGCAACACTGGCTTACGCTGGATATGAAAAATTCAGCCATTGTAGTACCACTGCCGCTAGCCTGGGGTCTATAACGTGTGTCGCGCGGTAGTCATACACGACCGCACGCCGGTACGATGCTTATCCAGATCGAAACGGGCAGGGGTGGGGATTGAACCCAAGATCCCTGGGTTCTGCAGCACGAGGTTTCGCTCTACACGCTGTAGCTGCAGTGCGTCAACACACTCGGCCACCAATCTCCCCGCTCACTACTTACATGACGTCGCTTGCTACTGTATTGAAACAAATGGCGCAGAATTGAATTGTCCAGAACCAGTGATGAATTGCAAGTTACGCCTATTCATATATAAATTTGTAAACATAAAGACCATAGTTGAGGTGGTTTTAAAACGGTACGATACAATATCCCCACTTTGAGCTCATGCTTCAGTTACTTTCATCATATTTTAATAATTCAGCACCTGAGCCTTTTTTAAGGGTTTCCATAAGAAAGAGTGGTTGATGTGAATACGGCTTGGGGGGGGGGGGGGGGGGGGCGTACTATACAAGCTTCAAATGCATACGTTTCTCTAAGTAAATATCTGAGTCGCACGTACCCAGTTGAATCAACTCTGCACGTGTTGTATCTATTCCGTAGCGGTTCTTCGCTTCTACAACATATTCAGCAAAATCGTCTTGCTCTGTGTGGGCTATGGTGAGCGACGTTACTCCCTGGGTGTCGTAGTAGATGTGGTATTCTGGCGAGTGCTTGATGGGTATGCCGTCCCGATACCAGGTTATCTTTGGCTTGGGCATTCCAACAGCCTTGCAGTCCAACCTGAAACACCAACACATATTCGGCCCTGTTATGCGCATTAAACTGGATGTTTCGAACGGCGACCTACACTGGGTAGAGAAAAGTGGCAGGTAAGGGCTATTCCAAGTCACAGCCCAGCGAGCTAAAATGTAGCCCACCTGGTACAAGCTCTCAGCCATGACAGGCGAAGCTAACAGGCGTCGAGCGCACCAACGCAGCCAATGCTAGCAGTAAAAGTCTTTTTCTGGAAGTCACACTAACTGTTACCTGAGGGATGGGTGAGTTTGGCGCATACTTCGCCTTGCCTTAGTAAGTTATAACCCACGGGTGCTTATTTGTAGATAGCAGTGGCAATGTCTATTATTTCTTACTACAAAGGAGGGGTAATATCGAGTTCCTGGTGCAAACAACGTTATCGTGGGAATAAAAGAAAAAAAGTTGGCTGCCGGCACGCAGCACACACGCACGAACGCACACAACAATCTCGCGCAAGAGTTTTGTGCACAGTTGTGGGAGAGCGTGAAAACGTGACGTTTCAACGAGCTTTTCCAGTGCGAGTGTATACTATCCGCGACACTGTTAACACGAACATGCCACAGCCGGTTTTCTCCGTTTTTCTCTCAGCATTGAACGACTGTCAACAAAACTACTGTAGTGGTGGAAAGTGCACAGCTAGTGTACTAACCTAAGGGGTAAAGCTCGATGCCGGCTAGTACCGTTTCCAAGTAAAACGCGAAAAAGTACCGATGTCGCGTTCGCGCTAAAAGTGGCGCGCAGTGCATGTGCATTGCAAGCGAATCTCTTTTGCAGAAGTGCAATAAAAGCTCGTGAGATGAATAAACGCGTTGATAATGCTGGAGCTCATAGTGCAGTGCAGGTAAGGTGAGGAGAGGAAAAGACGTCCGCAAAGCTGAATTGGGAGGGGCCATCCCTCCGAATGCAAACTCCATCTGTCGGTAAGCACACGAGTGTGTGCAGCGCATCTCAAACTAGCCAAAGCTCCCCGTAACTCAGCATAACTAACTATAACGCACGCACAATGCACGCACGACACACTCTCCCCGGGTTGATCAGAATGATGTGTTTTTTTTTTTTTATATTGTAAAATTTTTTTTTTTCTGAAGACGAGTCTTTGTTTGGACGCAACTTATTCGACGCCTACGAACACGGCGCAGAGGTGCAATGTCAAAGTTTGTGGAAAAAAAAAATAGAAAAACTCACGTGGCCGGCTGACCCAACGGCACGATGACGTCTTCTAAGGGCACAACCACAAGAGGCGCCGTTCCTGGGTCGGACGTTTTTCGACGTCCCCGCTCCCAAGGCTGAACGGGCGAGTAACAGCGTGGTATAGCTTCCGGCGGAACGGTTGTCGAGTCGCGAGATGTTTTCTTTTTCCGGCGCTTGTGTGTCGATTTCCTCGGTTTGTGCTTGTCCTGCCACAAGAGAAAGGCATAACGGGCATTCAACGACGGCGCCGTCTATTTATCGCTAGAAAGGCGTTGAAAGCGCCATAATGACGATTTCCCACTTTATTCAGCCATGAGTTAGACGGGAAGAATCGAAAGGAGCCCTCGGCCAAAAGGGCATAAATCCATCCAGCGCTTTAGGGCATAGATCATACGCACGAACTATTTTGCTTTGAAGGCCGTTCTTTTTCGTTTTATCGGGAGTACGCACGGCACGGCTGACACTACCAGTCGATTGCACTAATGAAGCGCAGCTAAGAGCTCAACGCCCCCGCATTCGTCGTCGTTCTCTGCGTCTATCATCGCCGACTACTCTAATCAAATATCTAAACACTCTAAAAAAACTGGGGCTTCTACTTTTTGCCGCAATGCGCTTGGGAGAGCCAATAGGAGAATGGCGAGTCTTAGAGTAAGGCTAGATTATAGAAAAAAAAATTAAAAAAGGAGCCCGCGCTGTGACACGTCAACATAGCGTTTCATTTGAATACATAATATTCAATATAATGTTTTTTTGTTTTTTTTTAAGATTAGACATATTTTTAAGCTTTGCCGAGCACTCTCTATACACTCTAAGAAATGCCTGCACGTATACTTTCCCGCAAAACACTCGTAGAGCCAATCTCTGCGATTTACGAAATCAGCTCAGCGAATGATAAGGCGGAACATCTGTTTAGACCTAAAAATGAAGTCTGCGCTCTGGCATTATGCAATGCAAGCAGGACGTTTTGCATTGCCACAGCGCAGACTTCATTTTTAGGTCTAAACAGATGGTCCGCCTCATGATTTGCTTAGCTGATTTACTAGAGGGCAATGGTTGGCTCTTTAAGTGTTGGCGGGTAAAACTAGACGCGCAGAAATTTCTTAGAGTGCCCATGTTTTGAATGCGTTCCACAGCCCTGGAGGCGGCGATACACTCTAAAAAAAGCCCGGGCGTCTAATTTCCCGCACAATACTCGGAGAGCCTATCATTGCAACTTACGGAGGCAGCTCAGCGAATGACGATGCCAAAACACGTTTAGACGAAAAAACGCAGTCTGAGTTGTGACATTAAGCAATGCAAGCGTGACGTTTTGCATTGCTTAATGTCACAGCGCAGACTGCGCTTTTTGTTCTAAACATATGTTTCGGCATCGTCATTCGCTGAGCTGCCTCCGTAAGTTGCGCTGATTGGCCCTCCGAGTGTTGTGCGGAAAAGTACATGCACGGGCTTTTTGTAGTGTGATAGCAGCGCGCGCAGAAGATAGTGTTGGCTAAAGTACGTCTAAAAAGTACTCCAAGTATTAAATAAATTAGAGGTTATGTCCTTTAAACGCAAACGCGACAGTATCAACTTAGTTATACATTTTAAAGATGAAATCATAGAACAAGTCCACGAACAAAAATGTTTGGGAGTTTGGTTTAATCAAGAGCTAAATTGGAACACACACGTAAATAAATTAAGTTCCGAGCTTACACGGTCGGTTTGATGTCTACATAAAAGAGGGAACCTTATATCAACATGGCTAAAGAAAAACTTGTATTATTCGCTCTTTTACTCCAGGCTGTGTTATTGTCTTGTAGTGTGGGCACGACATCGACCACAAACTATAACTCGCTGCTCACACTGCAGAAAAACATGTTGCGCTTACTTGAAAATTATAAAGGTAAATTACAAGACCTGCACACTGCACCACTTTTTAAAAAATATGGCATTCTTAAGGTCAATCAGATATATTATTTTAAGTTATTACAACTGATTCACAGACAAAAACTATATGTGACGGATTTAAGTGACGTAACACATGCATACCCTCTTCGACACACATATAGGCGGCCCCTTCAGACCCGTACAAATTATGGAACACAAACAATGGAATATCAAGTCAGTAAAGCTCTGAATAACATTAAAGACCACATAAATTTTGATAACAATTTTAGTAAATTTAAAAGGGATCTCAGGACACTCTTGGTGGGCAGTGATAACCCCTTATTATTTGAATTTGTAAGTGATAAATAGTTGTTTTTCTGGTATATTAAAAAAATTAATATAATGTTTAATACTAAGCGCTAACTTTGTAAACGGTGTGCTGCTGGAAAGCGCTGCTTTGGGGACAGAGACCTTTGTCAGGCTTTGAGCCTTTAGTCCCTGTCTCCATTTCCGGAAAAATAAACATTCATTCATTCATTCATTCAAATACAGTAGTTAGTACACCGGGCGCAACGTGCTTCAAGTGAAGTACGGTAAATACAATGTCATTTCAAAGTAAAATACAAGTACATTTTAACACAACCTTTCACGATGACCTTTCATTCCCCAATGCAGTATTTCTTTTTTTTTTTTTTACTTTTATGCGTTTTTAGGAGTAATCGGGGCTGCATCAGTTATTTTCAGAAATGGCGACGAATATTGGATCGAGTCATCTTTCCACATAGTATTGTTATTTTCGAAAATGGCGCCAAATTCAGCAGTCCCTCCGACTTGCGAATTTTGCGACCCCTGCGTCGGCTTGCTCTCAAGGGGCTTAAACGTATTAGGAGAGAGAGCAAGACGTCAGCCCCGTAAAGCCAATCCGCTCGTAGAGGAGTGTCATCTCTTCATCTTTCTGACCTCCTCGCTCGCGCCGACCGAGCGAGAAGTAGCGAGAGTTGGAAAAGCTACGGGAAAGCCTCCCCCAGAGCAAACGACAAACGGAGAGATGCGCTTTCCACTCGCGTTTCTGATAAGAGTAGAATATCCCTCCCAGTATTTATTACTCAGAGTTGACGGAAGGACTATTTGTGATACAAAACTTAACGATACCAAATTTGGGGAATGTAGCTTGAAGTCGGGCGTTGTACTTTCCTCGCAAAGTACCAGAAAGAATTGCTTTAAATAAACTCCAGGTATACAGATTCAGAGAGAATGTACTTCGAGTAAAGTACACATTTTCTCAACCGTGCTTCAAGTAGTACAGTTACTTAAAGTACTTCCCAACACTGGCAGAGGGTGACCGATGGACATGGGCGTACCAACCGAGGGGCCGCTTCCCCCCCCCCCCTAGTTTTCAGAGTGGGGGGGGGGGGGGGGGCAAGGCACGTGTTTTGCCCCCCTCCTTCCCTGAAACTGCCGCCACTCGGCAGGGTAAACACTAGCCGGCGGCGCCCAAGGCAGGGATTTCCCTACCTTGGGCCCCCCCCTCGTTAGGACCCCCCCTCATTTTTCCGAAGGCACTCCCTTAATTCACAACGACTCCTATATTCGCCAGGCCCCCCCCCCCCCCCTTTATCCCCCCAAAAAAAATTTAGACACCCCCCTGATTTCAATTCCTGGGGAAACCTCTGGCCCAAGGGATACCAAAGGCACCGCCCTCCGGCCCTGGGGGGGGGGGGGGGGGGGGGCGTCAAGTTTGCCCCCCCCCCCCCCCCACACTCAAAAACAAGTTGGTACGCCACTGCCGATGGAATGGTCTACATTGGGAAACGAAGTGGCTTATAATGTTCACGATCCTTGCTCCGTCATTCGTTCCTAGATCCAGCAATCTGATTGGCTGCCGAGCGATCAGAAGACGCTCGGGATTCGCCGGACCCTGCCTCTCTTAAGCTCTCAGGGATTCTAGTGAAGATTCATCAAAAAGCGACGGAAGCGACGATCGTGACTCGAGAGTCTAGTTTCCTCTAAAGCGCACGTTAAGCCAATCACTGCAACCCAACTGTCCTCTCTGACCCGAACAACGATCGAGGGATTTCAATATAAAATGAACACGAGATAATAAGGCATTCTATTGCAAATACAATGCGACAAGTTGACCCTTTCCAATCTTTAACTTACAGTTGGTATTCGTGGTGGTCGCCCATCGTCCCTTGGGAGATCGGGTATCTTCTCCATGTCCGACTCATCCATTTCAGACACACTTGGCATAGTATCCAGGGTGTTGTAAGAGTCGTCCTGAGTGTGGTCGTGAGTATGGGCTGCGCCGGGTGTATCGTAGGTTGCTGAGGCCACTTCAGAGTCGGGGACATACTCATAGGCTGCAGAAAGTTCAATATTAAACATGAGTACTAGTATTATGAAACCAAAAGGCTTTCAAAAATACACGTTTTTATTGACAGAATGCAATTGCCGATTTGTACTAACAATCTTTTGAGAATAGAAAAAGAAGTGCCGGTCTCTTTAGTCGTGTGACGTCGCATTGTCACGCGACGTCACACAACCATCAGGAAAACACGTGGTCGCGTGACATCACTTGACGTGACATCACGTGACATTGATGTCAGGCATGTCGCGTCACGGTGTCGCGTGATGTCCCTTGACCACGTGGCGCGACACCATGAGTCACGTGGTACAATGACGTCACAGTGTCCCGTGGCGTCATAGTGTCCTGTGACAACCATCAGGCTGTTGACGTCACGTGAACACCATCCGCTAAATGTCGCGGAACACCTCCCTTTCAGCAAGGCTTACCTGTCTCCTCCATTGAGATTACATCCTACGGACTCGAAAGCGCTCAACATATCAACGCTACGCATGTCGACGAACCTAAGTTGCATGTTCTAGTCCAACAAGACAACCGGATAGCGATTCTACAAATATGTAGCAATCAGCGCTCCTTAATCACACGAAGGATATCTATTGGTGTCTATAAATAAATTCCTTTCTATGAAAAATTAAGCAGACACCTAAGAGACGAGGGGCGGTAAGAGATGTTAAGATTATCTACAATATTGACAGAAGGGCTGAAGCTTCTACTGCTTTGAGTGATGTCGGAACATGTTCATAATCAATAATTACTTTCCGAGTTATATATGAGACAGGTGCCTAGTTGCACCTTTGAAAGGGTCACGCAACTCCTAAAACGTTAACAAGGTTTTGCGAAATGGCTCACCTTCTACGTGAACGTGGGCTCGGGTGGTTGCCGTTCCAGCCACATTGACCGCCTTACAGATATACTCGCCCATGTCCTCGGGGAACGCCTCCGAAATGAACAGCTCGCAGTAGCCATCTGTCCTTTGCGTTGTCCAGACGTCAGAATTTTCTTTGACTTCTCGGTCGTTGTGCACCCAGGTAACTCGTGGCTGTGGTTTCCCAGTAACCTTACAGGAGATCGAATGCCTCGTTAGGATGATTTCCGCGCGTTAGGAAACACATTCACATAAGGGGAAGGATGCGACACTCACGTAGACAGAAAGCTTGGCTTCGCCGCCGTCCATCACAGTCACGGGGGCGAGTTCTGTTAGGAACCGTGGTGCCTCCATGGCTTCCCCATCACTGGGCTCCGCTGAAGAAAAATAAAAGGAATTGAAGTAAATGAGACCCCTTCATTTTCGGAACCCTGGGGATAGCTTGCATTAAGGATAAAAAAGGTGCGCCCCATAGCTTTTTTTAAATTTTTGTTTATTACCACCATCAATCTCTGATGAAAAAGAAACTAATAAGGTAGATATTAAATTATCGCATTAAGCAGCTAGAGCGCGTCACTCAGAGGTCTTTAAATACACATTGGAGCTGAAATTGTTGAGGATATTTATCGTAACGTAGTGCAGTCTAGGACGTTCTGCATATTCTGATCGTGTCTTGAATTGTTGCATGTACCTGGAGAATTTTCAGGGTGAACATTGTCTGTTACTTGCACTGCCTGACAATATTACACGGACCTAGTGGCGTAGCATATTTTGATTATTGCTATATTAGTTCGGAAATAATGGAGATCTTTCTTAATTTATTTATACGCCCCCAGTTAACCAGACAATATACTCACGTGCAAGGAAAAACAATAGAGCAAAAGAGCAATTACAAAGAATCGAAAACATTTCAATTACCGTATTTTCCGGACTATAGTCCGCACCCGATGTATAGTACGCAGGGGGAAATTTGGGGTCAAAAATAAAAGATTTTGCTTAGATAGCCCGCACCCGGTGCATAGCCCGCACCCGGTGCATAGCCCGCACCCGGTGCATAGCCCGCACCCGGTGCATAGCCCGCACCCGGTGCATAGTCCGCACCTGGTGATTAGTCGACACGAAAATCTTCTCATAGACGGCACACGTTTACAAATGTCTGCTTTTTAGCTCACAATGAAGCCTATAATGTGCATAAATCATCATTAACATACACTTTCGTGCACAAAATTCGTCACGTCTCGTCATGATAAACGATCTTGAAAAACATAATTCCTGTATAGTCCGCACGCGTAGATAGTCCGCACAGCCAGAAATTTCAACTTTTAAACATGTATAGTCCGCGGACTATAGCCCGGAAAATACGGTATACAAAGATAAGGGAACGTTTTACGACTGACGCAGCTGCAATCAAGACTGACGATGTCAACTGAAACATAAGATATTCGTTCTTTCTCGCGATATTTGAAACATGGTGGCGCCAGTGTGCAAATAGCCTCCAACTACTTCCGGTTCTGAACTAGACGGCTAGTGAATTTTCGAAATCAAATATAAACTCTACCTTTTGAAAATGACCACTTATACTACTGTGAAACTTAATTCGCCCTGCTGACAAAAGCATGGTGAGTTAAAAATTAGGAAAAAATGAAAGATGTTTACACTTCTCCGTAATGTTTGGTGCCCGAGGCTGGGCACCCCCCCCCCCCCCCCCCCCCCCCGAAGCTTTACTGGTTCGTTGCGATCTCGGGAAATGAATGGGTGTGGGCTACGAAAGACATAGGGGCCCCATGTGCCGTATGGCATAGGTACGCCTCTGGTCCGGTGTGATCGGAAATCCGCCGCCCGAGGTGGGTCAGCGAGTGGCGAATCAGTTCCAAAGAGCAGGATGGTGCCGCCCAGTCGACATTCATGGCAGAATGCAGGCGGTGCGTGGTGACAAATGTGCGCCAAAAGACAACGATAACTGACTGGGTGCGGGTATCTGACAGTATACGCTGCCTCCCCAAGCAGTGGGACGCGTGCCTGAATGCGTACGGCAACTTTTTCTAAGTAACCCAGGTGCATTATTGATTCATTGTATACCGTTTTATTTAATTCCGCCCTGCTGCTATACTTTTTCTTCCATCTCAATAAAGACATGCGAACGAGTTCCATTTCTTTACGTCATGCTACCTAGAAGTATATAGATGAAATCAAAGTTAGATTATCTACTCACCTTCTACGATGAGCTTCGCTTTGGAGCTTGCAATGCCAACTGGATTTTCGGCCGTGACCGAGAACGTTCCGGCGTCATCGGTGAAAACCTCGCTAATTTTAAGGGTGGTCCGATTGCCTTCATTGTAGATCTGGAAGTCCCGTGAAGACTGCAAGAAAGGAGGGAATATAACATCAAATGCACATGCAGTGTATGTTTTAACTGGCATTGAGAGTGAAGTTGGGAGACCTCTAGAGGTGATACAATTCTACTCGGAATGTGCGCTAACCTTTATTGCCTTTCCATTGAGGTACCAGGTGAAAGATACCACATCTGGGAAAGAGGTCACTTCTCCGACAAACGTCACCGGGGATCCTTCTGGGACCGTTTGTGAAACCAACGTTCTGATGAAAGTCGGCGGTCTGAGCTGCGTGGCTTCTTCCGGAAACATATCTGGCCCAAACTCCTTGGTCTCTACGTAAGGGCCTACTTTCGTGACTGGCGATGTCGGCAGTGACTGCTCCTCTGCGATTTCAAAGCCAGTAGATATTGCGTTATGGAATGGCGCCTTTGAGGCTCTTATTTTCGTAACACGGGAAAATAAGTCTGCACGACGTTAGAAAATGAGAACAAAACAGTTATTAATGCTCACGCAGCACACGAAGGTTGGCCGAAGTCGTCGCCCGTCCCGCTGTATTTTGAGCCCTGCATTCGTAAGGGCCAGAGTCTTCGGGAAACAGTTCGGCAATGACGAGTGAACTTTTAAGTCCTTCCGATGTCACCAGGAAGTCGCGCGATGACTTGAGAACTTTTCCTTCGAAGTACCTGAGGTGTGCAAGGTGAAGTTGACACCACTCGAAGATAACAAAAAGGCTGAAATGTCTTTTTTTTTTATTTGTTCGTTGTTACGGACTTACCAGTGAAAGTCTGGATTAGGCACAGCATGAACCTCCACGCTCAATCTTGCAGGCTCGCCTTCAGGGAAAACCATGGGTCGCAAGGGGCGTACGAAGCGAGGCTGCACGGAGACATCGGACACCCCACCCAGCAGCTCGAGATCTAGAAACAACGACGGTAATACAGTGTTCAGAAACAAAAAATCCTGCATGAAACACACAAACACACACACACACACACACACACGCACACGACGCGCACGCGCACGCGCACAGACACACACACGTACACACACACGCGCACACGCACACACATACACACACATATATCTACTTCACCTACTCCAGTGACCTTCCCTCCTCAATTAACACATCTATACGACTGTTTGTGGAAGACTGTGTTGTTTAGAGGAAAATCGATAACCCAATGAACCATCCCTTTTTCTTTCTTTTTTTTTTTCTTTTTTCAAACAACCTTGACATTGTAACCTCCTGGTTCTCACAAAGGCAGATGAATATCAACCCCGTAAAATGTAAACAAGTGACCGTCGCAAAAAAGCTTGAACGGGTCCTCCATTTAATATCCTAATTCTAAAACCATTAACTAGAGTATGTTTCAATGTACAAATATCTGGATGTTCATATTTGAGAAACATTTTTGTAAAACCATCGTACACTCAAAAAAAAAACAAAAAAAAAAACAAAGAGCCCTTGCGTCTACTTTCCCGCACAACACTCGGAAAGCCAATCACCGCTACTTACAGGGGCAGCACAGCGAATGACGATGCCGAAACATAAGTTTGTACCAAAAAACGCAGCCTGACTTGTGACATTAAGCAATGCAAGCGTGACCTTTTGCACTGCTTAAAGTCAAAACTCAGACTGCCTTTTTTTCTCTAAACATATGTTTCGGCATCGCCATTCGCTGAGCTGCCTCCGTAAGTTGCGGTGATTGGCTTTCCGAAAGTTGTGCGGGAAAGTAGACGCAAGGGCTTTTTTTTAGAGTGTACCGGCAGCATAATCCCAGGGTCACTAAGATCACGAAGTGCCTTACAACCGAAACTAGGTCTTGCCCCTATTCCAACAAAATTACCAGCCGACAAAAATATAACTCGACCTAAAGACTGGAATATGCAAGTATTATATAGGCTTCCACATCAGTCTTATAGGAAGTATTCACTGGACGCCATATTTGTGGGGGCTGTTTAGAACGCATGCTCTGAACGAGCTCACATCAATAGGCTGCTAAGACCGGCACTTTTGATGGTGCAGAATGCACGTTGCAAAAGAACTGTGGAAGCTCGCCGTCAGCACGCGCTCTGCATTCGCGCACACAGCTATGTCCGCCAGTGAATACTCCCTGGGGGGGATTGGTGGCCGAGTGGTCTAGCGCACACCAGCTCGGAGCACGTGGAGCGAAAGCTCGCGCTGCAGAACCCAGGGATCCTGGGTTCGAGCCCCACCCCTGCCCGTTTCGCTCTGGATGAGCATCGTACCGGCGTGCGGTCGTGTATCACTACTGCGTGCTGCACGTTAAAGACCCCAGGCTAGCGGCTGTACCGCACTGGCTAAATTTCTCATCTACAGCTGGGAGACTCGTCGCCCCTGTGAGGCAGACCAAGTTCTAGGCTGTATAAACACACACACAACCCAATTTTTTTTTTTAATACTCCCTATACTGTATAACTTCTCAATTAGATTCTGTTCAAAATGAAGTGACCCGGCTCATACTAAACCATTTTTTGTCGGAAATTAGCGTTGCCGCCTTAAAATGGCGCCGCTTTAACATCCCCTCACCGCAAAATTAACCGCATGCGTTTCTTTTATAAAATTTACTAGAAACTTCAGAAATATCCATTGTCACCCTGCTCATAATCTTTCCTCTTGAAGCGATAAATAATGTGAGCTTCGTCAATCCTGATTGGATGATAATTCCCTTTTTTATCTCTTCCTTACTGTGCATTATGCAATGAAATGACTTGCCCGATGAAATTGTGAGTAGCATTAATCCAAAGTGGCTAAAAAGGCTAGGACATACCGAAAATAAAATATGAGATAACTATACTGCTAGGAACCACTGTCTTCTATATTTTTGCTAAATTTGTTTTGCCAGCGGCACGACAGTTTCGGGGATAAAACGCTTTATTAGCGGGGACCCTCGGATTCGCTCCATTCGGGAAGGCCGCCAAGTTTAGCAAATCGGTGACGTCACCCGCTCAACGCGCGGCTTTACCCTTGAACGCACTCGCAGACGAACGCACTCAGGCGTCTCGCGCTTCAGCTTCCTCAGTTACCTTCCACGTTTCGAACACGCGGTTTCGAGGCGATGACGTCTACGGCATCGCTCGCTTCGTCGGAGTCTTACCGCCGAATTCAGAAACCTCACTCAAACTACACTCAACCTGAAGGGCCCCTCCGCTTCCTCGAGGAAGGCGCGAGGGCCGGCGGTGGCCAATCACGAGGACCGATCCGCCGTCGCGATTGGCCAGCGCCGGCCCTCGTGCCTTCCTTGAGGAAGTGGAGGGGCCCTTCAGTTTGAGTGTAGTTTGAGTGAGGTTTCTGAATTCGGCGGTTAGACACTGATTGCAGCAGCGATGAGAGTGATTGTTCTGAAGCGATGTTGGAAGCTGGTCATTTTGAGTTCGACCCGCTGGCCACCAGCTCCAGCAACGACGACGAGATCGTCACGAACGAACTCGCCGTCGTCCGCGACGCTCTCGCACGAGCACGCAGCGTGGAAGGTCAAAGGGCAAGGGGGAAAGAGCGAGAGCATACGTTGGAGTAGCCGAGTTGCACGAGAGTGTGCGATTGTACTGATCGTACTGTGGCGATGCGAGCTTGTGCGAGTATGGGGTCGACTAGAATGCGAGAGCGTTCAACTAAATGTGATGATAGCGTGGTTTGTGAGCACCATGGTGTAACTAAATTGGGCAGTGTGGCCTGGTCGCCAGATGAAAATGATTAACATTAGTAAATTGATTATTACAATTATTATAGCTCTAATAATTGCGAAATTCGCTGCATATACTAAGTAGCCTATGAGAATTCTATTTCAGAAGGATCTACCCGTTTACCCTATTTACTCAAGTAATAGCCGCACTGTTTATGAAAAAAACCTGAGGGTTCACTTTTCCGCGGAGCATGCGGCTTGCCAATCACCGTGATCGGCAGCATGATTCCAGCGGTTTACACGACAGAGACAACGTCTTCGCGCGAAGATACCATCTGTGAAGGTTGCATTTGTATGGAGAATTATGTTCTCGATATAGTTATTGGCTATGTTATTTTTGCACAACGCGATGGTTGGCTGTATACGTGCTTTGCGGTAAAGCGGACGCAAGGGCCTTGTTCATAAATAGTGAGGCTATTACTCGAGTAAATACGGGAATGTCCGTGTCCCAACCCTTTGAGCAACGGCGCCAGCAGTAACCTTGAAAATTAAAAAAATAATAATAATATGTATATTGTTTATCAGATTGCAAACTTCTGTTTTGTACTGTGTCGTCATAACCTGCAGTCTTATGTTTCTCTGTTATTGATATTATATATTCTGTTTGTCGCCCTCGTGTAATACGTCCCAATAACACGCACAGGAGGCGGCATAATGCGAGTGCCCAATCGGCGTACCCGTCACGGTAACAGGCGCAGAAGTCTCGTCCTGCCCGTACTCGTTGAATGCTTTGCACGTGTAGAGTCCTTGGTCATCGGGATATATTTCCGTGATGGTCAGAGTCACCGAGCCACTTTGAGCGTCGTAATGCATCTGGAAGTCCTGTGCATTCTTCACGTCGCGCCTGTTCTGGAACCACTTCACCTGCAGCAGCCAATAGCAATCTTATAAACAAATATCATCAGTATATAAGATAGCAAATGATCCCACTGGGACGCTCGGATATAGCGCCTAAATATTCAACGAAATTTAATCACGAAAGTAATTGAGCTGTTTGCAGTGACAATATTTCTTTTAATGTTAGAATATATATGATAGCTGTAGCGGAATTCCAACGATTGATTTAGGTATTTTTCATTTGTTTAAAACGTCAATGGCCTCAAGTTTATAAACGATTGTAATAAATACTCTCGCGTCCACCAGCATGGTAAAAAAGAAGTATACATTGAGCAGATAGACTGGAACCAAAATTTATCGTAAACAAAGATATTCACATCCAGCCTTCATTAAACGGCAATCTTTAATAATGTTAACTTTCTTCACCCATGCAATGAAGCATATGTACAGACACATCTTAGAAGTCAAAACTTTACCTGTATAGGCTGAGAGCCAACAACGACGCAGCGTAAAACCACGGTGGACCCGTCTGTAGCTGCAACGGGCTCTAAGAGCTCAATGAACCGTGGAGGTTCTTTACCGCCTGAAAAGGAGTACAACAGATACACATGTCCTGTCATTATTAGCAAATTTAGACGTCTAGACTTGTATTGACACTCTGAGGGTTTAATTTCAGTGAGAAAAACAGTCAGAATCCAATGTAACGTACTGAGTTTTTTTTTTTTTTTTTTACATGTACGTCTTAAAACAAAACAAAAAAGTCGTAAAAGCCACACTAATTCGGTTGTAGAGGTGACGTATATGGCCAGGGGAACAAAATATAGAAGGTAATCGTCACAATAGGTCAGATACATAACTAAAATTTGTTAATTAACTTTCTTTTAATTAGTGAAAATAAAGATATGGTTCTAATTAGAAACTTGCTGAACGTCACCGAAAACCACTAAAGCAGCACATTTTGGAAACACGTTAAGCGCGTGGGAAGCGCAGTAGTGCGTTAAAGTTACCACTCGCCGAGAAGACGCAAGGCTAGTCGGCGCGAAAGCGCGGATGATAACCTAATGCCAGCACTTGAGCAATAGTCAGCAGCTGTTGGTGGGTGACGCTCACCTTTAACTTCTAAAATGGCCCTGGTGCTGTCTGCTCGGCCCCAGCAGTTTCTGGCAACACAGATGTACCTCCCAGCATCTTCCACAGTCACTCGGTTTATGGTGAGGGTGGTGGTAGTGACTTCTTCTTGAGTGGTCGTGGTGATAACCACGTCCCCGTCGCCAGAACTCACTGGGCGACCGTCTTTGTACCACAGGATGTCAGGCTGCATGGAAAGTGAGTTCGAAATCAAAGAGTTGGCGTCATTCGCGACTCACGTTAATTGCTTTTCAAATGATCCAGCCGAATCCTTTCTGTTTAACGGGTCACAAATACTCCACAAGGCTCAAGTGTGCGGGAACTGCTTTCCCCACCTCTGAATCTTTGTCTCCTAATATGCTCCAGAATTCATTTCTTAGGCAAGAACCTGTTATTTCGCGGCATTCATCGGCCACGAACACGAAGTCGGTATTCCTTCTCGCAAAATTAAGACTATGATTATTTTAGTCCCAGCACCAGTTTGGACCAGAACTATCTGTCCGCACTTCAACAAAAAAAAAAAAATCAACAGGTCTAATCTAAAAGTTGTTTAATCTCGTTTCATCTACGTACCGTATTTACTCGAGTAATAGCCGCACTATTTGTAAACAAGGCCCTTGCGTCTACTTTCCCACATAACACATATACAGCAAATCATGGCGTTGCGCATAAATAATATAGCGAGTATCCAGATCGAGAACACGATTGCCCATACTAATTCAATCTTCTCAGATGGTATCTTCGCACGAACACGTTGTCTCCGTCCTGTAAACCGCTGGAATCATGCTGTCGATTGCGGTGATTGGCGATCCGCGTGCTCCGCGGAAAAGCGAACCCTCAGGTTTTCTTCATAAACAGTGCGGCTATTACTCGAGTAAATAGGGTATTTAAATTCAACGCTGTCGGAGCACCTGAACGATGTTTCGTAAAAGCGGGTAGTCACCGAGGTATTGAATAACATTATTTTTTGCCATTACATGTAATTTTGTTTTATTTATTTATTTTAACCCTAAAGGTCCTTTCGGGCATTAGATAAGGGGAACGTGATACAAAGATTCGTACAACTGAACCAAGTGGCAACAAAAAGAGTCAAAGCTAAAAAAAATAAAGGTAAAAAGCATAAATTGAAGATACAAAGAATTTGGCGCAATTTTGGCCTTGAAACATAAGATATAAAAATGATGGCGGACAGTAAAAACATGTACATCAGAAACAAGACACTGACAACAACAAACATTGCAGGGATACAAGACTACATGTATTCAAGGTTTAGCATGTTTAGAACGGAGACGAAAGACTGATGGTCACTGATGGAGGCAATTTCTTTACGGAGGCTGTTCCAGTCTGCTTTAGCGAGGAGTAGTGGAGAGTTTTCAAACGTGTTGGTTCGTGCGAATCTGGGGTTAATTTTGAAAGGGTGATCTAAGCGGGACGATATATGCTGAGCCGGTAGTAGTGAAGATTCACTAAAAGGCGAGGGACTGTAATAAGGTTTATGAATAAACGATAAGCGTTTGCCACCTCTTCTTGTATGAAGAGGTGGCAAATTAAGTTAAAGTTTTAAACTGCTTACACTTGTGAATCGGGAGTAGTCGCAAGCAATAAATCTAGCAGCTTTGTTTTGAATAGATTCAATCTTATCTGCCAGATAAGTTTGATGAGGGTGCCAGATGATTGATGCATACTGAAGTTCAGATCTGATAAGGGCAGTGTAGGCAAGAAGTTTTGTATCTGAGTTTGCTTGGAGCAGCGTTCGTCTGAGAAAGCCAAGAGTTTGCGACGCCTGTTAGCAATGTGTTCAATGAGAAGGTTCCACGTTAAGTCCGATGAGAAATGAACGCCAAGATATTTAAAGGATGAGACATTTTGAGGGTTGAGGAAAAAAAAAGCGGATGCAGGGAATAAAAAATAATAATGAAACACACAAAATTATATAGTAAAGACAGAAGCAAGGTCAATATTGTAATAGTTGTTTAGCATCCAATCGACAAAATATATAGGTACTACAAAATCAAACAGCCTAATCTCTACAGGTAAGTTATACATAATGGGACGTAATTCCATGAAAGTTGATTTGGCAATAAACACACCCACAGAATACAACAAATAGGCATATACGCATCACCCGTGCGTCAACTTATTTGTAGAGCAACCAGAGCGCCAAGCACTTCGATGGACGGATATGTGTCTACAAACAATGAAAAAAAAAACGCTTTTACATGAAAATTAATTTAGCGATGTGACAATGAGCCTAATGTGAGCATGTAAAAAGTCATACCCAGGGTCAAATTTAAGGCCCATTTTATTGGTGATAACGTTTTTTTGAGCCTCGTCAATCGCTGAGCTCCCTCCGTAGATCTTACTGATTGGCTATCCGAATTGTTCGATGTACCGTAGTAGACTTCAGTAGACCGCAGAAGCACAGGCACTTTAGAGTATTAAGTTTATCGGCCCGTCGACACCGTAAACCCCAAAAAACATGAAAACAAAAGGTCATGATCACGGACGAAATTGAGAAGGAGTCGGGATCAATTCCCTCGATCCAATTTTCGAATTCAAACAAGAAACACTCACAGCAGGCGAGCCTGTTGCACTGGCCTCGAAGGTCACTCGATGCCCAGGCTTGGCAGAACGCGACTCGGGTTGCTTGGTGATCTCTGGCGCCCTCCCTTGTGGGCCCATGGCACGGGCTTGCTCCTGCGAGGGCATCTTGCCTGCAAAACAGTGGGCTGTGAGTTGCAGCTCGACAACTTTCACACCTGAGCTATAGGGGAGTTCATCGTAGATCAGCGCACTGTGCGAACCGTCTCGTTTGTTTCGCACGTCTGGCACATGAGGCGCATGCGCATTATGAACGTCGTGTGTACGACGTTCCATAAAGCCTAATGCAGGCGTCATGGTCTATTAGAAACCCTATATTGGAATATGACGTGCGTGTGTATGTGTGCAAGCGTGTGCGTTTGCAGCCTGTGTGTTCGTGTTTGTCCGCCGCAACTAACTTTTGGCCCTGCTCGGACTTAGTATGAAACGGAGTATAAATACTGGCCACTCACTACGGTGACGGGGCCCGTCACTGTAGTGCAGCCGGCAAAAGTGAGGGGGCCCCGTTTTAGCGAATAACGGGGGCGCGCGTTAACCCATCCGCCGCGCTGCGCTTACGCCGCTTCGCGGCGACAGTCTGCGGTGGCTCATTACAAAAATGTGAACCCACTTGGCCCACCCGAAAACGCCGCTCCGCGGCGTCCGACTATTCGCTATTCACCGCAGTGCGGCCGGCAAGAGTCAAGGGGCCCGTCCTGTGTTGTATGTGGTGGGAACAGTGAGAATTAATAACTTGTAATTTACAAGCACATTAACCCACGCATCACGGACCTGCCCCTGTCCCTAATCGTAAATATAGCGTCTGTGACCAAAAAAAAAAAATAAATAAAGAGTGAAAAAAAAAGTATCGTCCCAACACGATTGGAACCGCCGACCCCCAGCTCGCGAAGCCGACGCTGTACCCACAGCGCCACGAGGCACTTCCGTAACCGGCGATCTATTGGACATCTATATCGGTTGCTGTTGCCCCGTCACCGTAGTGCATTTTTAAAGTGAGGGGCCCCGTCACGGTAGTCAGTTCCTAAATACTGCACGAATCGTGTTTCTTGGCGATGCGTAGTATTCGTAGGAAAAGTTTGGATGATGTTCGCTGAAGCAGCCGGAATTATTTTTCACTAAATATATGTGAAACACATCTCTCGGTTTGAAGGAACTGGGTTTTTAAAGGGTCAGTAACAACGCCACAATTAATTTTTTTTTTTTTCAAATGACTGGCAATGATTTTTGTACTTCGTTTTAGCGTAAGTTTCGACGAAGCCGACGCTGCGAGGTAATAGGACCAATCAAGCAGCGTAAAAAGCGCAAGTCATTACGTCGTTTTTGTGTATAGTTAGTTCAGCGATGATAGAACACGTACATAAACGTAACGAACACCATTATGGTGCGCTTTTGTCGCTGTCTGAAAGGTCCATCAGCTCGTAGCCCTGGCTGCGCATGGACTTGGGTGAAACGAAGTATAGGCATCATCCAAAAAATGTTGAGCTCGGGAATCGCTTTCAGAGAGACAAAAATAATATCAAAAAGCCAGTTTTTAAACTCACGGCCGAATCAGTGACGTAGATGGCGAAATGGTAAACCAGTTGCCTTTGTGGATGTCATCCGACCGGAAGAGTCGTTTAACTTTCTCATTTTCTCTCTCATTGATCACTCTATCCATGGATGCGCGTGCCCTTACAAGCGGCCAATCGCGCACGTAGTTTTCTCTGCACATGCCACGTGCCCCTTTTCTGCATGCATGACGACGCGACACTTTTCAGTTCTAATTTATTTTTAACGTGAAACGTTCTTTAACTAGGTATTCGGCATTTCGTGAAGCCCAGATAAAAGTGAAGCCTGGATAAAAGCGTGGCCGAGATTCCGGACGCTGATTGGTTGACGGGTGGGAGAGGAGGAGTGAGGTGCTCGACGCTGTTTGGTTAACGGGGAGCTCATGTGACCAGAGGGGTAGGCGAGGAGGAGCTCGACCACCTGTGCGCACTGAGGGAGAGGAGCTCGAGAGTACGGAAGGCTCTGGAAGACCGCCAGGTTTATCAGCCCGACTGTCGGTAGGATAGCTTCATTCTAGTAACAACTATCAGGTGTACACGTGGTAAGCGGTAAATTATCTGGTGAAGAGCGCCGTGAGCGTGTGGGTCCGGCGTCTGGAAACTCAGGGTATCGTGAAACGTTTGTGATGCTAGAACGTTTCAAGCATGCAACACAATGCCATACATCATTTTTTTTTTAAAGCAGGGTTTCACCTATATACTTCGTTTACCACTAGGCTCGAACTTGAGCCAAAGCTACAAGCGTGAGTCAGCACGCGCTCCTGGCTTTGAGACATGTAGAGCGCTCGTTCCGCGGAAGTACGCTTGAAAGCCGCAACCTCGTGCTCTCGAGCTTGTCGCATTGACTGCAGTCTCAGTTCAAGGGTGGACGGAGTATAGTAACTGCTGGCAAGGTGGCAACGTCTTTTTCGAACACCCAGCCTCCAGGGGCCCTACTCTACACGGCGGGACCAAGGGACCGGGACGCCTGCTGCGATTCGTCAGCGCCGCGGCGCCGACCAATCAATAGGCGGCGATGTCCCGGTCCCTTGTTCCCGACGTGTAGATGAGGGCCCCTGGACGCACTCAGTGCCTTTCGCTGTGCCCATGGCTGCGCGTGCACGCTCGAGGCTCGCGAGATGCCCAAGCGTTAAGTGCTGGAGCCAGTACAACCGAAACTACTCCCTGCCGTTCTGGTTCTCTCAGTGGCTATATACAGGCGGCTTTGACGCCACGCAGCTGCGGTGGCGCTGCTCTCGACGCATGCGCAGACTATCACTTGACGCGGATACGGTTCCTGCGCACGCGCAACGCACACACAACGCGGACTTGTTTTGGCAGCATGTCTGTTAGTCTGTAGTGTGGCTAGAGCGCTTTTTGAAAGAGGTAAAAAGAAAATCTACGCGTGGCAGACTTTGGCGTGCGAGCGACGTGAGCGATGACTTCTTGATCGCTCGCGACAATCGCTCCCCCCTAGTTCGGGAGGTTTTCTGGCACCGAAAAGAAAACAACTCGTTCGAGCCGCCTCCGAATTTCCGATTCTCCCCATCCCCCCCAAACGGCTTCAACACAACTGCCGACCGCCGCCATGTTGAAAATACTGATAATAATAAAAAAATTAAAATGAAACTCCGAGAGACGGTCGATGTCTCGTCACTAATAATTCCGAGCACCGAGTTTTTATATTTCGCAGTCGGCGGTGTAGTGCGTTTGCAATCGTCGTAAAAGCACTGTTGATGATTGTCGTTATGAATTGCTACAGTCATGCAACTTGTGACATCTTTCAATTTCTGAAAAATGTCTTCGTCAACTACATCATTGCAACAAACAAAAAAGGGTAGGAGGAGCAGGCTTGATGGGGGAAAAGGAGGGTTTTTAAGCCGCTCTTTTTCGCAGGCTAGAAATTATTTTCGTTGTTTTGGGAGTTATATCGCGCGCTCCTGAAGCGTTTAAGTGAATATCGTATTGTCTCAAAGTGTGCCGATGTCGGGGTTGTCAGTGGGCCTTTAAGCTGCCACAACCTTATTTCATCGTAACACGGAAGCCTACGAGATGCCTCGCAATAAGAGCAGCCAAGAACCTATCGCGAAACGCCTAGATTACTCAGGCCCTTTCGTTCTACCAAAATCGGAGACCACGACTGCCGTTTGTATCAGATTTTAAAGAAATACTATACTTCCAACCCGTTCTACCGAACACTTTTCTGGTTATCAGGAGGCTCAAGGCACCAGGGAATTTGTTTTGCGGAGGAATTTAGACGAGCGTGTTTTATCAGACAGGTAATTTCGAAGGCATAAAAACCAAGAGAAACAGTGTGACTAGATAGTTATCCTCTTCATTCTTTTTCTAGAAACGCAGAGGATGTGACGATGCAGTCGAGTGATAGTTTGAGAACATTTTCTGGCAGTAGCGCTCCGGCACATCCATACATCATGACTTCAGCTGTCCTATATCAAGCAAAACGCCACGGAGTTGTTTCTGTGAGGTCACCGGGATTGCGCCCGAACTACGTGAACTGCGTCTTCATATTTGAACTTGTACTATATATATATATATATATATAGATATATATATATATATAATTTGTTGATTCACTTTTTAATCAGTGAAAATAAACATGGTTCCAATTAAAAACTTGCTCAGCGTCTTCAAAAACAACTAAATCAGTAAATCCTAAAATGTTTTGCTCTGCCTATAGGAAGCGCGGTGGTGGCCTACATTTACCACTTGCGCAACAAGTGCAAGGTTGGCAGTGCGAAAACGTAGATAAGGAAAAGAAAAACAGCGCGATCGCATTAAATTTTGTTGCATTTTCGGACGGGACCCTGAAACACGAAGCACCGAGCACCCAATCTTTCAACTATTAACTGATTTGGTGGTTTCCAATGATGCTGAAAAGTTTTTAATAAAAACATGTTTGTTTTTACTAATTCAATGGTTAATTAACACGTATTAGTTAATTATTACTGTTATTGTGACGATTATCACCCTTATTTTGAACCTCTGGCCGTATGACTCACCTAGACTGCATTACTGTAGCTTTCAAGGTGAAACACACATGTATATTTCTTTCTTAGAGATACTCTCTTAGTTCTTAACATTGTAAAAATCAGCCGGTGTTCGTGTGTTCTGAGTGTGTAAGTTATCTTTGGCGCTGATACCTATAAGTCATGAATAGCCAACTCGGCCAAGCCCCCCTCTTATTTGTAAAGATCAGTCTCGGGCACAAGCATATTGTGTCAGACTCTCTGGGGAGGTGCCATCAACGAATACCCATCGTCTACTGCAGACTCAACATTCACTTTAGCGTACCACTACAGGAACTGCGACGAACCCCAGGAGATTTTCTATTTGTCCTATGTGTGACATGTGATAAAGCCGTAAATGGGCAGACGTGGGATGCCGACGTAGGCACTTCATGACTGGTGGAACCTCTTGTCCGAACAGCTTCCCGTGTGCGTGTTTAGAGGGTTCTAACGCCTTGAGGCAGAGATGGAGTCCGTGCTTGGGTTGAAGCCTCCAACAAGTATGCGCCATTTGTAGCACAACTGTTCTGGTCCATAGAAATGTCCATTCTCAGGATAAAA